ATGGTGATGAAACAACATATAAGGCGAGAATACGCTTTCCAAACTATGGACATAATTGACATCTAAAGAGAAGCTATTTCCAGCGTAAGAGCTGTAAATATCGACGTCTCCTGTTTAGAGTCGTAATGTCTCAAAGAGTTCGGAAGAGCCTTCCAGGTAGGGACCCATCGCATTCCTACTTTCATAGGAATAGAATGGATCCATGGTAGGTACAGTCGTTGAAGCTTGCTGTATAAGCTCTTCAAACGAACTGACACTCGCACAACAGAATCCAGATCAGCAGTCGGGGTGTTTATAGACTTAAAAAGCCCTTTACTGACAGGCTTAGCTAGAAGGACTAGCCTGGCTATACCAAACCAAGACAAGTACATCTTTACTAGCATATCAGCCCTCTCGCCTCTACACTGTATTAAGTGTCGATGACGGGCCGGGATAATGCGTGGTAAACCACTTCTACTCAGGGACACACTAACCGAGAAAGATTCTTTCTTATCCAAGGTTCCCCCACTACAGCCATAATAACGCTGTAGAGCGACACCGCACTCTTTAAGGTACAGCGCCATGAATAAGAGGCCGCTCTTTCTCTTTAGAGTTAGGGCTGTCCTCGCGAACGCAGTAGCCGCAAGACCAATCTCTACACATAACCGACCGGAGGAGACTAAAGCGGAACGACATAGCGCCCACTTTTGCCTCGGAGCACCTTCAAAAGTGCTCCGCCTATGAATATAGGCGCAACTTTTCCACTATGTTTTTAAACAAAGTGTAATTACGTTGCATGTTAAGTGTATGTATTGTTAGTTGCTATTGCGCTAAGATACATACGTTAACAGGACCAGACTCAACTCTCCTTGACCCAAGAGACAAGCTCTTGTGTTGGGTGGCGCCTATCGTATCATAGATAGGGTCAGAGGCAAATCTACTAGAATTAACCAGTAGATATGCGTAACTCCAGGTTGTTAACCACATATTAAGAGATATTAGTCTCAAAACCGTGGCTAGTGCCTCTAGCCGCACAGAGTTCTAACTACTCACCCCTTTCCTATGAGTGGATCCCCTTCCTAATCCAGCACAGTATGGCCGTCACTCTCACCCTTACTTATTCCGTTCACATCCTCAGTCAATTCATGCAGTCCCCTCGTAAACCTCATTTGGATGCCGCACATCATGTCCGTCAGTACCGTCCGGGACAAGGTATCTTATTTCCTATAACTTGTTATTTTCGTCTCCGTGGCTATTGTGATGCAGACTGGGCTAGTTGCCCCATGACCCCTCGCTCTCTTTCTGCCTTCTATGTCTCTCTTGGTACAGCACCTATTTCCTGGAAGACTAAAAAGCAAACTCTCGATCTTCCGCTGAAGCTGAGTATCCTTCCATGGCTTTCGTCACTAGCGAACTCCTGTGGCTAAGACAACTCTTGACTGATCTCACAGTTCCACAACCCGCTCCAATGCTCCTCTTCTGTGACAATGAAGCTGCATTACATATTGCTGCTAATCCTGTCTTCCATGAACGCACCAAGCACATTAAGATTTACTCTCACTTTGTTCGTGAACGACTTCAACGTCTTTCGCTCCTCTCCCCTCTTGTTCTAATTAGAATGCGAGTGACTTCGTACCTCGGAAAGACTTTCCTTCGGGTAATTCTTTATAGATCTTATCTGCAGTGCTTACTGATTCAATCACAGCTGATACGCATTCAATTGCAAACAGAAGACTGGTTAATTGAACAGTTAGCAAATCTGTACCCCTAAAAAAAAAGTAGCGGCCTATTTTCTAGCAGCTTCTTCGAAAAAAGATCCAATTATGGCTATGTAAAAGGACCGGCTTCCCAGAGAGGTTAATGCCCTAGGATTTGATCCATCCCCACCCATATGGAATAGCTGCAAAAGGAATTCAATCTCCAGTGACCAAGAAGAAGGGAACGACAATCGTCTGCTAATCGAAGATGGACCCTTGAGGATTTTCTAGTTTGGATGCGGATAGATATACTTATTTTTAGGTTGAGCCTGCGGCCTCAGAGCCCGCGCACTGACCACAAAAAAAGAAGCAAGCACCCTTGTTGTTTAATCACACGAATACAAAAAATCTACCTTTTTATAAGCCCAACATGCCTCAAATAAGGCTGGGGTCACGGCGAGAGGGTGCTTGCTGGGGCCTGGGAAAAAAAAGTCCGACCGGGGCTCTACCGTTTTAAACCGAAGCTTCCAGGCCGGATCTTTGTCGGACTAATCAGCATGGCCCAAACGAAAGTAAATCACCGCCCGAACTTCAGTTCGATTAATTTATCTTATGATAGAGTTGTTCCTTCGCCCTTCGCCCTTCTCCCTTCGCCCTACGGGCTCATATATTCCCTTCCTCTCCTTCTTGTTCTAATTAAAATGCGAGCAACTTCGTTCCTTCGCCCTACGGGCTCATAATAAACCTTCGCCCTTCTCCCTACGGTCGAACATATGATAAACCTTCGGGCTCACTACTTCGTTCCTTCGCCCTACGGGCTCATAATAAACCTTCGCCCGCGCGCGATAGTTATTAAGCTAGTTGCGAGTTTACCTTGTTAAAACCATCGCTATTCCTTTCCTCCACCGAGAAAGGTTCATTCCGAATCACAAGAGCAATCTCTCTTTTTTCTTTTCGTTATGATAATGCAATGCAAGAGGTCGGAAATAAAGTAGTTTCTGATGATGAAAAGAGCTTTTTTATGTTATGTGAAATTGATGAAAACCCTTTATTTAAAGGTCGGTAATGTTAGAAGACGACTATCGGTATCTGATGGTAAGATACCTATGGTCGGTATATCTTTGAAAGCTCAGACGGAGAGAATAAACGGACTCCTCGAGGGCTACTTAAGGCACTTTAGTGCAAACCAGAAGGACTGGAGCTGTTGGATGTTGCTCAGTGCTGCTATAACTTAACAACCAAAAAGCTCTGCGTCGAACTTCAGCCCCTTCGAGTTGGCCACGGGGCTTCCTATCCTCTCCAACTCAGTCGAGTGGCATTCACTCCTCTCCCCGTTGGTCGAGCTCTAACCTCTCCTTTCAGTCGAGCATATTGCTCTAACCTCTCCCTATCGGTCGAGTGACTTTCTTCCTCTCCTTTCAGTCGAGCATATTGTATAACCTCTCACTTTGTTCGAGCATATTCGTTCCTCTTCCGCCCCACACCATTGCGAAAAGAGGGGGCTTGCCCATCAGCCTACTTTGCCAAGAGGCGGCAGGATCACAACGACCTAGCCCAAACCCACTTAGATAAAGCAGCAAGGCGTATGAAGGGAGCGACGACCCCTCTTGGAAATAACTCCAAAAGATCAACCAAACCTAGCCCAACCTAACTTGAACAACCTAAAGGCTTGGCCCAGTCTGAAGGAATAAGAAAGTAGACCTTGTAGAGAAGCAGATAGGAGAGGTAGCCTATAGACTCAAGCGATCCGCTCGGTGAAAACTCACCCCGTATTCCATGTGAGTCAGTTGACTTCGATTAGACCAGGCCGACCCAGAGAGGAACGTGCCCCCGAGGGCACCGCCAGATGTTGTAGGGTAACCTACTAAAGAAGAAGTTGAGTATATCATAGCTGACCGCACCATCCCTAACCCCTACACCCACTGCGCGAGTGGAATACTACTTAGTCAAGTATGAAGGGAACAAGGTCGGCTTTTTTTTCTCTCCTCTATGAAAAGAAGGGACGTGGCGTGGTATACCTAATCGTTTGGTGTCAACGAGACATACGTAAGTCGGCATAGCTCCATGTATATGTTCTTTTGAGCTATAATCTATAAATAGAATTAAATGAAATAATGGTGAGCCTGGGGCGACGAACATAACATGGCTCAAGGGTGTCTATACAAAGCCCTTCTCCTCTTCATTAATAAAGAGGCAATGCACTCTTTGAATGGTACTTTCTTTTTCTTAATAAAGAATGCATTTTTTGGTTATAAGTTATACGGACTTTATTTATAAAAGCAAATGCCACGCTCCGTTACGAGATATGGGGCGTTCTAATTGAAAGGGCATACCCCTCGACACCCTCTTACGGTAAGGCCAATGCACCAGCCAGTGTGGTGGCGAACACGCTGTGCTGTAAGCTAAGCTGTTCACCTTGTAGACAGAGGAGAAATAGAAAGTGTGCCGCGCGCGATTCATAAGATTCTATAGTAGCACCAGTCTATTATAATCATTAATAAAGAGGCATTTAAAAACTTAGTCTGCCTCTCCCATCATGACTTTTCGAACCCACCCTCGAAAGTCTCTATGCATTTTGGGAGCAGAGCATGCAAAATCGAGCAATGGATCTTAGAAGAATTCCACTTTGAACGGCGGGCACGACTCTTTCAATCGACACACTCGACTAGATAGCTCCGGTGGCCCGGCTTCTGCCTCTATCAGGCAGCGAAACTGCCCCTACCCTCCCCTACCACGCTTCCCCAAGAACCCTTTTTTCAGGATTCGGCAGGTCCGTCAAAAAAATGGGGATACTTCCCCAAAAAACCAAGGGAGGCGGCAGCTCCCACCTCCACAGCCACAGCATGGAGGAGCAGCTCCTTAATCCGCACTACAACCAATCCAAATTTTCTCCAGATCGATATATGATGATGCTAAACCGAGACCAAGATAGAGAGGGAGGGCTGGCTGTCCCTTTGCTTTGTTGGCTCTTCGAGACAAAAGCACTCATAGGAATGGTGCTAATTCCCATGTTCTTTCTAGTCTCGTTTGGTTTCGAGAGCCTCCCCCTCCCCGTCCTTACTCGTCTTTTGCAAGCCGTCATCCTTTATTTTTTTATAAATTGGATAAAGAATTAAAAAAAATAGAAAGAATCTACTACTTCTTCATTCAGTTTTAAAAAAACCTCATTACTTCCCACTGGGCGAGAGGTGGACCTAAGCCACCTACCCACTCATCAATCACGGTCTTCAGCTGACTTGCACTGATGGACCCCTATTGTATTGGAATTAGGCGCCCATCTTTTTACTGTTGTCAACTAATCTCTTCAATCTTCGATTCTACTCT